CACAATGTTTTGCCAAGTTATTATTTCTTTCTAAATAGTGGGCCAGAAGGAAGGAAGAGGAGCACATGACCCTTTGGCGAATTCCACTCCCCGCTGGGGTGCACCGCTCAGTCCTTTGTTTCCCCAGCTCTGCGGCCCAGCGCCTGCTCTTTATTATCCTCTCATGCAGGACCCAGGACTCCGCTCCTCCCGGCACAGTGCATTCAGCAGTCACCATTGTCTCCACAGATCCATTAACTCAGTTGCTCCAAATCCCTAAATGCCCAGAGCAGCAATCCCCCTCTTTTTCTATCTCTCCCTTTTTCTCACTCTCTTGATCTCTCTTTCTTCCCCTATATAGGCCCCTGCTTTTGGTGGCGGAAGAAAAGGCTAAAGACACACCATAAACAGACAGAATTAGTGATTGGCCTAACTGAGGTGAACACATTTGTGCAACCTAGACCTTTATCTCCATGTTCACTTTCTCTTCCACTGATGCACAGGCACTGTGCCAGGTGCTTAACATTTTCTGCGTAACACGCCCAGGGTGGGTCATTGTTCCCGTCTCTTCTTTACAGAGGAGGGAGCTGAGCAGTTAAGTCACTGGTCCACAGCCCCACAGCTAGTGATAGAACACCTGGCTTAGAACACCAGTCTGTCTGAACTCAAATATATATATTGAGTACTGTACTTTCCTGCTTCCGAAATCATATTTGAAATTCTCTAGCATAGACGGGCAGCTAATAGATGTAATTTCTACCAAGTCATAGAAAACTGAATTAGATAAGGATTTTTCATATAATACACAAGCTTAATTTGGGGCAATAATATTATATTCTGCTTACGTGACATTTTTCCTAAGGTACCCTGAAATACAACCATTCAAGTTTCATCGTTGTTTTTTCTTTGCTCTCGTAGGCAGAGAGGGCTGTCAGGGCTGGGAAATCACTCTACGGTGGGCTAACTAGAGAGAAAAGCTCCTGGGATGCTTGAATGTCCCTGTGAGCTTGTCGACACACATTTATGAGTGTCTTCCGGGGGCGATAGAAGGGGACCGGGGCAGTCCCTGTTTTAGGAGACTTCACCTCATCTGAGGAGTCAAGGGTTAAAAAGGCAAAGTAGAAAGGAGGATAAAAAACAAGGTGACTATGCTAAGTGCAACCCACAGATAACTAATGGTCAGCTTCAAGGTAAGGAGAACATCGCTGGGAGATGTAGCAGTCAGGTGGGGGGGTGCTTCTTGGAAAAGGTGGAACTTAAGCTGCAACTCTGAAGGATGTGTATATAGAAGTGATAAGGATGTTCTACGCACCGTCTTATAAAAATAGAACTAGGAGGGACCATGCGCATGACAACAAACTCTCATCTTGCTGGGAACCAGACAGAAAACTAGAGTGGATTGGGATTAGAGAAGAGACCAGGAAGGGGAGACACTGAGCTGGCCACTTTAGCTGCAGGAAAGGGTAGATTGCTGTTACTGTAAGAATTTGGTGGGAAATATGATCAGAAAGCTGGGACCAAATAGCAGAGGACCAATCTATCAGACTGAGAAATCCAAACTTCATCCTATGCATACTGAGGGTCCATGTGGGACTTCTCAGCTGGGAAAAGCTTTGATGGAAGAAGTGTTTTGAGAAATTCAGTCCGCGGTGGTGGACAGAAGAGGGAAGTGGAGGTGGTGGACCAGTTAGCAGGTTGTTGTAATGAGCCGCATGTGAGATGCTGATCGCACTACTGTGGAAGCTGTGGGCCAGATGTGGGAGGCATTTGAAAGGAAGGACTCACAGAATTTGATGACAGATTAGCTATGGGGGTGAGGGGAATATTAGAGGGAAAAAAAATCTAAAGGTCTAATTCCTCTCCTTCCCGGCATATTCAGGGAGAACTGAAAATATTTTAAACAAGAAACATATCTCAGGACAAACTTTTTCCAAAGAATATCTTCTTTCACGTACCCTTCCCCTTCCACGGACCTCACATAACCGTATGACCACAGACTTAGTTTCATATATGAGCCTCTTTTCCCTCAAGGTTAATAATCTTAATAAAAATAAGAATCTATTTAGAATCAGCTTCTTAAAATTTTCAATCCCTTTAAGTTTGTTCTGTGTGCTCCATACAAAAATAGTACGCAGGGAAAGCGGGGCCAGATGTCTTGACCTGACCGCTGGCGGGCCCCATACGCAGGGCATTAGTTGGGGAAAGCTCAATACCCAGCATCAGGATCCGATTTATGGATCTTTACAAGATAAACCATTTAAAATCTAGAACACAAAACAACCAAGCTCTTATCCATTCCCATATGGATATACATTTAAGAAAAAAATATGCCAAGTGTCATATTTGCCTCGTCTCTACTATTACAGTGGAAGTGACCCCAACAATGTCTCCAAGTCACATAAATGTCCTTAGAAAGAAACAGAGTAGATCCCCTTTTAGTTTTTTGATGACGGTCCCCACTCATAAGTTACCTTGAGTTCAGGGACTACCTGGATTAATGTATGCTACTTTTTCATTCCACCATAAAGATGGGTTTTGTGACTTAATAAATCCAGCTTTCGGATCACTTTTCGCTGGGATGATGCATCCCCTTATTGCATACTGGGAGAGCGGGATGCACCCATAGTGCAAATTGAGATCTGCACCCCAGTTACTCCTCACTTCCCCGAGCCAGAGATCCCTGGTGCACAAACACTTCTACAGCTGTTAGAATGCTGATGGGAAATTCATGTGTGTTACCAGCCGAAGGGCTGTCAGGAAGAAACCAAATGTCAAACTGAGGTATGTGGAAGTCACCATAAATATGCCTCTGAATGTTTACCATCTGGAACAGTAGATTCAGAATTTGACAAGAGACTGGGATTGCCCTGTGGGCACTGTCTTTCAAGCACACCCTTTAAGGTTTGCTCAGTGACTTCATATTAGGGGGAATAACACACAACTTTGCCTTCCTACGGTGGGAATTTATTATTCTTCAATACTTCCTTTCTTGTTCCCATCCTCCTCAGCCTGCTTACAATAGACCTGGGGCAGGCCAGGGTGGGGCATGACTCTCACATACTCTCAGAATCCTGGGCAGGCGGCCTGGCGGTCAATCTGCAACAGTTGCAACATAAGCTTGTGGGCTCCAGGGGCTGAACTGCAACTTGCCTTTGTTAGATGCCATGATACCGCATCTCAGTGAGAAGCCCAACTATGAGGAGGAACCTTACTTTCTTCTGAAATATTTCTGCGATAGTGAAAAATGGCATCACTAGTCAGCACTGTACCTGCCACATGCCACCTGTATAGTGCTAAGCCTGGTGCAGCATGGGCTAGTAGTTTGCTTTTTTGCCCTTAAAAAAAAAACAAAAAAACAAAACTCCAGTTCCATGGTAAAGCCAAAATGGAATGATTGGAATTCCCATAGACTTCAGCTTATGAACTTAGTCCTTTTCTGGTTATGTAATATTAAAAATCGGCTAATGCTCAGTCTTAGTGACTGCATGGTTATTTATGAGGACATTTTCTCATTGAACTAAGACCATAAGCAGAGAACATTCTGAATCACAAGTAAACACTACACTAAAATATTGTTTGAATCACTAAACGTATCAACTGTCTGGTTGTAAAAAGTATATATAACACAACTTGAAACATAATTTTATGGGCATCTTTATTCAGATGAATATTAAAATCACAAAGCAGGAGCCATCAATCCTGTTATACAACCTATTAAGCAGCTCCCGTTTCAGAATAGCTTATACACAGTATTATTCATTGGGTCTCTTCACCTGCAGCGGGTGACAACTGCGTTGGGTGTCCCTACCAAAAGTGAGAGTCCGATGGGAGCTGGACCACGAGCTCCACAGGCATGCGATGTGGGAAGGCAAGTCGGTTAGGGTGCAGGAGGAACTCACTGACTTACCTAGCCTGGCCAAACATTTCAAAACTGGACACTTAATTTTTGATCCCTGTAAAAACAGGGCATCCATTCCAAAGGCCTTTTTATACCACAAACTAAACACGGTGTGGAGACCTCATTGTTGTGTTCAGTTCGATTTCACTTTGGTGGGTGCTTTGGGCAGCATGGTTCCGCTACTGGCTCCCCACATACATGACGGCAACTCATTTTATGTTGCTCAGGCACTGGATCGCCATGAATTTCCAATGACTAATTTATAATTAAAATAGTTTTTTTTTAAAGTTTGTTTATAACCAAGCCAGAAAATCTATTTACATTTAATTAACACTTCAGATAGCCTGTTTAAAACCCATAAATGTAGCGACTTTAATGATCCATTACAGAGATGCTGCTGCAGTTTTCAATGACTTGTAAAACTTTCACAAACAGATCTGCAAATGAATTACCGCCCACTGCTCCCCTGCAGCTGCTGAGGGCTAAGTCAAAGAGCCTGTTCCTACTTCCTCCTTTTCTGTTTCTCTTCTAGCTCTAAGCATTTTTGTTTTCAAGCTATTCTATCAGCTGCTCAGAGAGCAGCCGCTGCCCTTAGGGAGTTTTTAAAGTTTGGAGCCCATCTCCAAAACTGGTTAAAAACACGCCGGTCCTTCATAAATCAGATATAATCAACACTGCAAAAATCGGTTAGGAAAGCATTTCATCTCTGCCAGCCACTCAGGATAGACCCCGGCGAGAATCTTTGTAAATGGAGTAGGAAAATGCAACAGTTTGAAAGTGAATTTTAATTTTGAAAGCTAAAATAAAGGCTTCCTCGGCCTTACCCATCCTTTACAAACAACGTACAGCTCCCGTTTTGAGTATGTAACGAGGATGTTAAAGGGCGCAAACTCAGCCCCCAAAGACGTTTTCGCAGCTTCACCTTCAAGAGCAAGGCAGGAGGAGTGTTAGTTCTACAAAGAGAGCCAAGCACCAAGCGACGCTCGCTGTTATCTGTCAGCTGTACAATAGCAGCATCGAGAAGATAGTAGCAACTGGCTTTGACAAGTGTGCTGTGCTAGCATTCCATTCAAACGGGGGAGGGAGAGAGAAGGAGAGAGAGAGAGGCATTCTTTGACTTTACCTGGAGGAAAACAACCTGCTTTCCTTGGGGCTGCAGAAAATGAATCCCTCCTCTTGTTCCACAAGCAAAGTCGTTCTGATGCTTGCAACTCTCACTAGGAGAAGACCACACAGCTCCAGCAAGGCTGCCTTCCTGCTCCTAATCCCCACTCGAACGTGATGACACACACTAACCCCAACCATCTGGTGAAACACGTCCTCAAGCACTCAGCACAGTGGTGTGTCAAGACGGGCTGCCCAATCCAATTGCTGGGGCTGGTGTCTCTCCCCGACGGGAGGCTGAGGGCAGGGCTGAAACGGGAGGTCTGAGAACTCCCGGTCAAGTAACCTGAGATTTGCTCAGAGAAAGGACTGCTATAAAAAGAGAAGTGGGAGGTGCCAGCGAGAAGGTGGAGGGAATGGATTCTCCTGGTGGCCAGTTCTGCGTTACTTTTCACAACTCCCTGAGCCCCCCGGGGACATTTGGGACTCTCCAAAGGAGGCAGAGAAACACGAAAAATCTTTTCCTGCCAACCCAGTGAGGGCAATCTTCTCAGCGAGCACTCCCTCCCCGCCCTCGAAATAAAAGCTTCATTTTGACATCCTGATAAAGTGTTAATGTAGGAGCAGTTTGCACTGAAATGTGACATCTACATTTTGAAATCTAAACTCCTACCTTCCTTTGATTAGATCCGGGGCTGCCTCCAACATTCCTTGGGAGGCAGGCGGTGGGGGTGCAGCAAAGAGCAGAAACTTCTCTATTCCCACATACAGCTTCACTGTTTGCCACAGGCTCGACTTCAGAAATAGTCAATGAAAATCATTTTAGTTTCTACGCGTGTAAAATAGCACGCGCACCCACAGATAGAGGTGGCTTTTTAAATCACTTGCTGCTTTCACAGACATCTCTTTGTGAAAGCACTTGGTACCGGAGGGCTGCTCTCTGTCATTGATTATTTTTATTGGCTTCTAGTTAATTGCACTTATAATGTCCGTATCGCTCAAACAGCTCATTAACAATTTTGCTTTGAAATGTTTTCAATTTTGGGTCATTTCAATACCTCCTTCTTACGTGCATTTTCCTTCTCTGTCTGTCTGTCTGTCTCTCTCTCCTCTAAAAAGGTTTTATAAAACTAATTACTTTGATAGCAGTGTAAACCAGAAAATGACTATACTAGTTACACCACTTTTAGGAGATATCTGAAAGTACACTAGCTGCTGCAAATCTCACCTTTTAAAAATTTAATAAGACTTCTAGGAAATTCTGAAAATCAGGAATTTGAAATATTATCAACTCCCTGACAGTGTGTGCGAGAAGCCAACAATTAAAATTTTGAATTGCTTTGAACTGTGAGGGGGGCCACTGGAATAAAACCTCCAAACTTTAAACCCTCCTAAAGCATTAAAATTTAGACTCTAAGTAGATAGCTATCTAATACTCAGAGCACCAGTAGCAGAAACGGAATTATTTCAATATCTAGCAAGACTGACTTGACGAGCATGTTTTTTCCTCAGGAATTTTTATGTGAGATTATGTTACATTGCTTAAAAATGACTCCTGGTGCGATTTTCTGAAGCACAGGATTAGAGAACTGTAAAGTTCAGACAGTCAGTTTTTCCTATCACTGGGCAGTAGGGAAGAAGGAGAGAAAAACAGAGAGGCTGGAGTCCTGATTCATTTGCTCGGTTCCTTCCCAGAAGTGACTAAGAGGTGTCCGTTTCACAATACATAGTACATTCATGAAACCACTACAACTAATCAGCTAAATCCAGATACATAATCAACACAGAGACATTCAGCAATGGCAAGGGGCACCTCGGGGCTAAAAGTTCCCTTGGGCACCGTAAATTTTTAATTGTGCCAATTATTGTAAGGCAATTTTTTTCATTTAAAAATTTTTTTTTGGTTATTCCAACCAGACTCGTGTCTGGAAATCTGGATTACCTCAACTGCATAGATTTTGAAGACCCCGGAGACATTATTAAGGTAGTTTGCATTCTCTTAAACTGGAAATTGACTTACAAAAGTAAAACTTAAGAAACTGTGAAGGTGTTGAATCATGTTTTATCAACCCTGGGCTTGTAACACACCTTTTGAAAGGCATTTCCCAAGTGTCCCTGGCTCTGACCCACGTTGTTGTTGAAAGTACTTTTTAACACACTTTGCTTCTAACTTAATTGTAAATCTTTTCATTAAATCTCAGTCACTGCTTCTCTTTGAGAGCTCCAGCTATTTGTTCTACTTACAACGTGTTTTTAAAAAGTACAAGTTGAGCAATAGCCACTGCCCACTTGCTGTGATCTTAATGCTTGCTCTCTGCAGTGTCTGTAAACATTACCTTTGTAAAACGAGTCCACAACAACACATTTTTGGGGGGTTAATGTTCTGAAATGCCTTTTGTTAGGGGAAAATCAACTCAAACAAAAACCTGAAGCTGGTGCTGTAGGATAAGTTCCCAGCTCTCCTCTCTCCCCAGCCAGCTCAGTGCTCAGCGGTGTCAGTTTAGAAGTTAAGAATTTTCCATTACCTCCCTTCCTTTCTCCTTGCCATCTGCAAACAGTTTATTTTTCAAGGGGGGAAAAAAAAGGGAAATTGATTCTGTCTTGAAAGATCTAAACCTGAAATACAGCGTATTCTAAAAGATGATATTCAGCATTCGAATGTCATGCTTGTTGATCAGGGTGAGGTTTTATGTGGAAGGAAGAGCTTTATCAGAGGAATTAAGTAAGGATACGTCTAAAAATGAAAGATTAATTTAGGTAACGGTGATATTGAAAAATAGCCCCTCCTATTCTGTTCCCACCGTTAAAATGTCCCTTTACTTATTAGCGCCAATTAGTTTCCATGGTAACGAACCAGCCCTTGTAAACCCGCACTCTGAGCTTCACTCATCTTTGTCTAGACTGAGCTCGCCACCCTTCTTCCTCCACAGATGGCGGTTTAGCTGGGTCTAAATCTACAGCCATATCTTTTGCACATATGTAACTGGCATGTAAGCGCCCACCTCCACTTTATTACAGGTGGAGCGGTGGTGGCCAAGGGAGGCAGACGCCAAGTGGCATTTCATTCCCAACCTGCACGGCCTGCCTCTGCTACTGCACTAATTCCCCCCCCCCACCCCGTGGTTATTGTTTCTTCCAGTCTTGCTCTATTATCAGCTGTTTGCTGCTCGTAATGTCTTTTCAGGGAAGCCAATACAGTAATAATAAAAACCTCATTAAACAGACACACCTATCAGCCTTGAAGAAAGCCCAGAACTACCCCTTTTTGTTTACAGAATCATTAAAGTAAAAAAGAAAAACCACTTGTTTGTCATGCTTGGGAAAAAGAGAACAAAGCCAACATAAAGGTTTGCCAAGCCGGGGGGGGGGGGGGGTGAACATGAAGATTTAATGCACTTCAGACACCATGGTTTCCCCTTGTGCTGCCCATTGGCCCAGAATCCCGACTCAGCAGAGTAAACAAATGATCAGTGAGGCTGAGAGCACTCCTTTCACTTGTTGGGGAGGGAGGTAAGCAAAGACTGGAGCATCCTGGCTGTCACGGGTGGCCTTGTGCGGTGGGACTGTGGGCGGGCAGTGCTCCTGAGTCGCCCCAGTTAGTGTGAATAGAGTACAATCTGTAGAGGCGACCTCAGCAAGGCTCGGATGGGTTCTCATCATTTGCACCGTCTTTACTTTGGATACAATTCAGTTCTACTCAGTGTTATTTTGAGGTAAACCATTCCTTACTTACGAGCATCGAGAAGACACCAACAGTGCAGACGCCCATCTTTTGTGATGGCCATGTTTCATCTTGAGTAAGTCCAAATGGTTGCATGAGATTTCTCTTCTTAATGTTACCGTTGCTACCACCAGCTCCCCAACACCTGTTTCCATGTACAAGTAATAATAGAGAACAAGATTCCCCTAATGCTGATGAAAGACTTTATTCTTTTTTAAAAGATTTTATTTATTTATCTTTAGAGAGGAAGGGAAGGAGAAAAACATCAATGTATGGTTGCCTCTCGTGAGTCCCCTGCTGGGAACTGGGCTGCATCCCAGGCATGTGCCCTGACTGGGAATCGAACCTTGAATGTCTGGTTTGCAGGCCCAACGCTACACCAAGGGCATTTATTTTTATTTTAATCAGCTGGCCGCCCGGCGACTGGGTTGGTTCGGCGCCTGTGCTCAATCCACTGAGCTACACCAGCCAGGGCAATTCTTAAAATTGTTTCTCAGGTTGACTCTGAAGTTTTCTGTGATCTAAGTATTAGTCAAGGAAAACTTCTGATCACTGAGCAGATACCACATCTGCTAGGTCATGGGATTGTGTGAAGCTTCTTATACACATGAATTCTTTGATGCTAATGTTCCATTTGATTTTTGCTTTCCTTAAGTCAAGTGACAAATGTCATCTAAAACTCTATGATGTTAGAAATATCCATAACAATTAGCTCATTGCTATTCACATCATATAAAGTATCTGTAGATGCGGATGCACAATAAATCTTGTCATTTGGAACATCCTGCACTTCTAAATCACTCACGGCTACACAGCTGCAGCATTCGCTTGCTGTCCTTCACTAAACTTTACTGCGTTTAGTCACATTGAACCAAATACTTCTCAGAAAGAGAGGGGAAATTATTGCTTGTTAAATGAAGTCGTGTGCCATGTGACTAGCACTAGACTTGCTCATATTTCTGATGACTGCATAGCTATATGGGAGGTGACCCTGGACCCTGTGGTTCCCTTCATACGAGATGAATGGTTTTATCACAGAAGTGATGTTCCCTCCCGAAAGCACAAGCCTAAGAATGCTGAAAAGGCACATGTAGCTGCCCTGGAAATAATGCTAGGACGGTGAGACGGGGTGCTGAAGTACTTAGGACACAATGGTGACCCATAAAGAGGGTAGTTGAATGAAAGATGCTACATCTAACAGAATATGACAAAAAGGTAGTGAAATTTGTAAAAATCTATTTTCAACACATGTTAGTAGAAATCAAGGTTTGGGACCTTCTGTAATTAGTCTTCATTTGAATAGATAATTACATTTGAGACATAATATTAGGAAGCATAGATAGCAAATAAGGGAAAAATGGAATTTTGGTAATAAGAACTTGAGGTTTCGTTTGATCTCACTGGAGGTGAGTTGGGGGATATTTGAGGTAGAGTATATCCTAAAGCTAATGAGTCAATTATCTTTTACTAGTTATACAGACATTCCCAAGTTATGGTAAGTAATGTGGGGAAAAAGTAGAAAATTCGATGCAGGAAAGGACATGATTCATGTCCAGGGAGGACAGAAGAAGCTTGCTTTTGGAAGGACTAAGAGACAAATGGGAGGGGCCCAGAACAGTTTTCCCAAGATGTGC